CGGGGAAACTATATGGCAAAATTTACGCTTGGGTAGAGAGCGTTAGAAATGTCTGGCTCAATGAACAGGATAAGCGCAGTTCGTCCCATTTATAAAGATACTCTATAGCGATCTGGTCGCATTCTAGTCATAGCCTCAGGATTTGAGATGGACCGTGCTGACTGTGTGACCAGAGGCGATAGTGGAAGAGTTTATGCTTCCCTAGTTCGCTACACCTTCCTTCCATAGGCAACAATGCGAATATTGGACTGTCTCTTCAGATTCACGCATATAGTCAGGATTCGGAACCGTTCAGTTATCCTCTGGCTGTATTCCCAGACCTTTCAAAACATTGCTTCTTTTGTATGTCGATTGTGAAAAGTTCAGTAGCCTCGGCGGGATTCGAACCCAGGCATGGACGCCGCCTGCGCTTTGAATGCGCATGCTCTACCAGCTGAGCTACGAGGCCAATCCGATATCACTGACCTTTTCACATTCGAATTTACCTATCCAACTTACAGAGGCATGTGGCATCCACCAGTTAGCATGTAAGCTGCTTGCCCCGACAGGTTTTCCTTAGAAATCACCGGAATCCACCGAATGAGCTTCTCAGACAAGGTGAATTGTTCAAATAGTTGTTTGGCAGATTTGAAGTTTGTATGTCGATTGTGATTGTCGGTATGACCTCGTAGATCAGCCGGTAGATCATGCGCGTACAAAGCGTAGGCGGCGTCCATGCATGGGATCGAATCCCACCGAGGCTACTGAACTTTTCACAATCGACATACAAACTTCAAATCTTTGTTTGTGTTCAGTTTAACTAAAAAGTGACCAGAGAATCTATGTCGCAGTCAGGCTTCGGCTATGTTGCACACATCGCGAAGTGGAAAAACTGAGCAAATTTCAGAAGTAACTATAACATAGCACGTTAGTCAGTAGCACATGCTTTTAAGTAATATAAAAATGGTTAGGATATTTGTGATAAAATGTACAGGATCAACGTAAACGAGATTGCACTTCCTTCGCTCTTTCCCTCCACTTAACTTTAGGATAGTGCACTTGGCAGTCAGGCATTTTCTTTTGTTTAAAATTTCTGTTTGTTCAGAAACTACTTACCTTTCGTTGAAGCAACTGTTCTAATCCAGTTGTCGAGTGTCATGTCTAAATAACGTCCAGTTCAATTGGGTACATGACGTCCACCGTGATCCATAACGATTTTGGCGATAATGAAGCAAAGTTGGCCATTTAGACTACTTCATAGACACGTGATCTAATGTTCATCTCATTGACTTCTTCCCCATATTCGAAATCCCCATGGTTCGCTGTGCAGTGTACTCATGCTTTTCTTATGGAGAATGAGTACCGTAGTGTCTGTCTATAGACATCTGGCCATTCGTTCGTTAATGTGATAACATACTGAACCCGATCGATAAATTCGTTATGACCAGCGTTTTCAGATATTACCTCACTGACAACAGGTGATTCACGAAGTAGGAGTGCATTGCTCACACACATTTTAAAGGGCATGTGCTAAACTCCGGGTCGTGATTGTTAAGATGATCTTTGGCAAGTTACCTCACCAATTTCGTCAGTGCTCTAGCAAGGACAACCGCGATTATCACCCAGTCGCATATCAGTAGGACAGCGGTTATCGACGGGTTGGATATCCAACATTTTATTCCACAACCCCACTGACTGGTGAAGTGAATCACGATAGGTGTTCACTTGTCGGTGCGACAAAGTTGGTTATTTGGATTTCGCACCCCATTAGCGAGAATATTCTTACAGCCGCAAACCGGCTAGTGATTTTGGTGACCATTGCCACAAAAGCACGATGTATTTGAGATGAGTCCATCCAAAAGCGAAAAAAGAGATTGAACAATTTCTCATATAACCCAATTCTTCAGCATTATCATCAAATTCTAAACAGACCATTTCTTCAAAATGACGCTCATCAATAAGCATATACATCAAATTTACGACCACATCGTATTTATCATCTGATGTCTGAGTTCCCTGTTGATTTCATATGGTACAAACGCTCGTTTCATGTTGAGATAGTGAAAAATTCAATAACCTGTCGGGCCAGTAAGCTTACATGCTAATTGATGGATGCCAAATGCCTCTGTAAGCTGGATGGATAGTTCGAAGGTGAAATGAATCAGTGCTATCGGTGTGGCTTCGTAGCTTGGGTGGTAGAGCATGCGCTGTACAAAAGCGTAGGCGGCGTCCGTGCGTGGGACCGAATCCCACCGAGGCTACTGAACTTTTAACAATCCCAACACAAAAATTAAATCAGCCAGAAAGCATTTGCACAATTAACCTTATCTTAGATGTTCATTCGGTGGACTCCGGTGAATTCTAAGGAAAACCTGTCGGGGCAAGCAGCTTACATGCTAACTGGTGGATGCCACATGCCTCTGTAAGTTGGATAGGTAATTTGAATGTGAAAAGATCTAGTATGAGTTTTGAACCAATTTTTATGCAATCGTTGATCAGTACATGCGGATGTACAGAAATCTAAGCTTTTTCGTCTAGATAGATATCCATTTATGCTTTTATGTTGGATTGCTCATTTTCTACCAAAGACAAAGTGTACTCTCGTAAATATTACCGGGAGGAACATTGGAAAGATCAAATCCCAGTCTGGTTTATCGGCTGCGACACTGGACAACAGTTTGGGGGCAGCCACGCTAAGGTGACATTAGGGAATGTTCTGACAAAAGGCGATATCTATGAAAAGTAAAACGGAGTGTCCTCGACAAACCATTTTGTGGTTGATATTAGACAGCCAACTTTGCAACAACGCACTCATTCATACATTTTCCGGGATTATAACTGCAGTACAGGCTTTTACCATATATACCACGGAAACATCGTGGAGTTTCCGGGAGATATCAAGAGATTGTGCCACAGAACTAACCACGAGTTGCAATTGGTTGACAGAGCACTTCCAACACATTAGTATTGCTCTCTGGTAGATAATAGGTGCTTGCACATTGTCACGCCAAATGACAGCGGCTTGAACTACTCTGTATTTGTGTCTTCCCCACGCTATAGGTGAAATGCTGTTGAGTGAATGTTGATTGGTCAGTGGTCAACCCGTACATCAATCGGGACCTATGCTATTACGTATACCGTTAGTTTGGGTTTGCTAACAATGCGACATAGCAGGCGATTGACGGTACCCACTGTTCGTGCTCAGATCATGCATGCATGCACGCTGGATAATTAAAAAGAAAACAAACAGTGAAAAGCAACCCGGCAGTCAAATGATGATATATCTCTGTGTGTGTGTATGTATGTGTAAGCACGTACGTATGTGCAGCAGAATGCACCAACAAACGGGTGCAATCGAAAACAGGATAGACGGAAACAATTCCGACCAAGGAGAAAGGGCGAATTGGCGCGAATAATAATAATAAACAGACGGACAGAGCCCGAGCAGTCTAATCATGGAGCGGTAGAAAGCCAGAACGAGAAGAGAGTAGAAAAGAGAAACACGATCCGGGATTTTGGGGTATTTGTGAAGGCGCGACCTGTTTACCGTCGGACCTTTTTGTTTGTCGTCCCATTAGGCAATTGGATAGAAATAAATAAAAGGAGAAAAATGGAACAGTACTTCTTGACGTGTGATGCTCCAGTTCAGTCTGATTGGGAGCGGGCAGGTGGGTGACAAAAAATTGGTCAGTCGGATAGTGTGATGCAATTCGGAGCCGTTTCTCGATATATAGAACAGAGAAAGAAAGTGCAGGTAAAAAAAATGGGATTCGTTTTAAGAACGGTGACATTTGGGATCGAACCGCTTCAGGATGTGGATGGATGTGACTTTTGATACATAATGATCGTAAGAATGCGAGCGTGTGAAGACGTGTCCCTGTGTGTGTGTGCAGGATGGGGGTGGGATGAGAGTGGTGAATCACAGAAGCAGCAGCAGCAGATGTGAGGGTACCGCACGTGGAGAACAGCGACAGCTGAACACCTGTTTCAAATGAGATCCGTTAAGTGCCCGTTGCGAAATAGGATGTGATGTGCGTGTGTGTGAACTGGAAACGGGCGAAG